TAGTAATTCCTCTTTGACCATGAAGTTTCATACCATTATCTACGGGGAGAAATTGCAGAATAGTTCAGAAATTGCATTTCCTTTTCCCCTTCTTTATAATCTGATTTTTTAATTTCCTTCCTTAATATACACATTCGCAACTGTCAGTGTAGGTATCCGATAACGCCCCGTTAACATAACATTTGAATTAATTCCTTAAAATTATTCACAATAGTAAAATATAATGAAACTTAGCGCGATATAATGTAGTGCATTAACTGTTCACACAGTAATTATTTCTATCTGCTCTTCTATCTATTGTTATTCATTATGGGGCAGTTGGAAAAATATTCTATCTGTATTAACATTTATGTATATCTATGAAGTCTATAATTGCTATTCTTACATAACAACAATTTCCCCCTGACTAGTCTATTACCTTTGTCAGGATTCTCAGAATTTATCATACAATTTCACAAATTGCATCTTTCACAGAAGCTTTCCCTAACTTTTATACATGATAAGGAAATAGACGCATAATTAGAAAATTTCGTCGTTCAAGTATGCAAAAGATGAACTCATTTTTTTTTACTACAGCATCTATAATTATACCCCAAATGAAACAATGAATTGTTGGTGTACATATAATTTCTCTTCCACAGACAAATAATCTGCACTATCCCACAGTTGCCAAGGCGATATAATTTAAAAGTATGTGACATCTTCTCAAAATACTAATCGCTTCAGCTCATTTCAAATAATATAATATTCACTAAACTATTTTCCTATTATTTTGTGCTACCACATTTCTTATATATTATTGTGCACTTTAATTACTTTTAACTTAAACTGAAGTATAATTACACTTCAGAGAAAACCCTAAATCACATACAAAACGATCACATTGGCATTTCCTGTTAAGAAAAAAAAAGAATCATATAATGCACACATATATAAAGAGAAGAAATATATGGCAGCTTCGATCCTCCACACGATGAAGAAAGAAGAAACCAAAATGATATATACGATACTTGACCTTGCATTAGGAAGGGCTCATCTCGTATAAACACAACGGTTAGTTCTACACTTCTGTCATTAGGCGTTTATCGTAATTTTGGCATTTATTACACCTCCGTACTTAAGAAATTAACATAATATTCCGTATATATGAATTCCTTGAGCTTTTATTTGCGCCTCACTGCATTTATTCCGAATCTTTAGAGAATCTATCCTGTTAAGACTCTTAAGGGAACATAATAATGTCGACATATGCACAGTGTCTACTTGGAACCGAAATATGACTACCTTCATATGTATGTCCTGTTGGTTGTCAAGGAAATTTAAGGAGGAAGTAATCATTTAAAAAATGTTCCCCTCTCGTTTGCATCTCTTATGAAGATCAGAGGTGTTAAGTACCCTCTCCATTGCTCTAATTATTCATGGGTATTATTATAGCAGACTGTAGGAAATAGAAGTGTGTGTTAATTGAGGAAGTGCTTCTCAGTAGCATAAACATGGATATGTATATTATTACATGATATCAGCTAAATATATATTAACCTCCTGTTCTGAAAGAAGTGATGGATTTGTATTATATAAGCGTCAAAATAAATTCCGACACGTATCAACTTTACTGAATGCGATGCGCGCTTCACATTTATTTGCATCCGTATGTAGCGTACGAATTTTCATTTACAACGGCGTCCCTAGGAACCTTAACTTCTCATTCTATTTCGAAAGTTCCATAATGGTCGAATTCTTCATTAACACTGTTTTAATATAGGAACTTCTTATTATACATAATTCATCACAGAGTTAAGAAGTTCTCATTATAACATTAGGGTAGCTGTATTGGTTATAATTAATATGAACCTTTTTATCAGATAGATTTGTGTTTCTTTCTTTTTCCTATCTGCCTCTTATTTGCTGCGTACTTATTTTTACTTTTTAAAATATAGTCTTTCAATTGCGCAAATATTTATCAAATCACTTGAGGCACCGAAAAGGTGAAAATTAGATATTATATACGGAAACGCGCGATTTTCATTGCAACGTATGGTTACACGTCCTTATTGCTTAAATTAAAATATATCAATGGAACGTAACAAATTAAATTATTACGATGAATTCATAGGAATTTACCAAACCTTGTAAGCTTCTTTTTCTTTACCTCTTTACGAAGCCTACTAAGGAGCCGAAATATTTTTGGTTTTAGGGATTATAAAGAAATAACTTATCCTGTGAAGTCCTTATTGCGCAGTTCCCAAGAGCCCCATTTAAGCATAAATAATACAAATGTTAATTCTAATATTCATGGATTTATTAATACGTAAAAAAATTATCCCTGAAATATTTTTATGGTATAATACTCGTATAACTTTACTGTTAAAGATAATTCATATATATTTTATGAAACCCTTAAGTAAATCTAGCGGTTTGTGCTTTTATTAAGTGTAAAAGCATTATTCTTTTTTCTTCCTGCGCCCCTGCCTAATACGAAGAATAATTATTCCGACTGTACTACTATAGCCGCGTTCACTGATTTTTTTTTTTTTGCATTTTTTTTTTTAAATACTCTAATTTATAACTTCCACGTGAAGAATATTCAGGAATTTTGTCATTCCTTTTTTGTATTGAGAAGGAGTAATCTTATAACTTTTCCTTGTTCAATATTTTGTATTAATATTTTCTCCTTGAACCCTTACTCTTCATCGTTCCCTTTAATTTTGTGTTTCTAATTATGTTTCAAATTTTCTAAATTCGTTTTTAGTGTTCCACGCTGCTCTTAATTTAGAAAATAGGAGCCAATAAAAAGAACATGAGTTTACATATACTGCTTTATAGTTAACTATATATATAAGAAAAAATATAAGAATGCTTGAAAACAATTTACCCATCCGGAGCATGGGAATTATTGATAAATTCCCCCGAATAGATAGAACGAATATGTCCTTCCTGTATTTTAAACTGCTAATATTTATTTTTCTTCTCTGGAATTTTTCAAACTGCACTGATGTAATATTAGAAGGATTATCTAAAGACTGTTAAAATAGTTTACTCGGAATATACGCGTTTCTGCGCAGAGTGAATATCGTCTTACTAACTGCGTGACCGATTTCTCTGCTCATTCTTAACCTTTCCTAATTTTGTAGAGTTCATGTAATAATTCATATGATGAAGAACATTGCGATCTCAGCGTCCGCGGTGGTGAGAAGTTTAGAGTTCTAACCGAGTATGATAGTTACTATAGGGGAGGTCAGTCAAGTCTATATTCCTTAGAGGATATGGAAGATGACCAAAGGGAAGAACACATACGAGAATTGATATCTTATTATAATGTGTTTTTAAATTATTATCCACGACTTAACACCAAGGACAAAATCATTAAATTAAAGAATCCTGAATCCATAGGAGAACACAATTATGCTTCTAATGGAAAACAAAATGTGTCAACGACTAATTTAGTAGAGGAAAGATCATATGAGTATGATGAAGTTGACAACGTCGAGGACGTGGAAGAATATGATGAACTTGAAACTTTTATTGAAATTGAACTTTATGAAGAACCAGATGATCTTCATGAGTATCTTGATTTGGATATAGACATTGACGATAGAGAGCTAACGACACCTGATGATATGGATGAAGATATGGGTATGTTTAAGCAGAAATATTTGGAGCTCATGGACAAAATTATTTTATATATTACAAATTATAATTGGAATAGTGAATTAATTTATGATTACTTTCTTCTATTTACACCACTGAGTACATTAATAGCCATTTTGCTTGTACATTTGGCACCACGAGCTGTTCTTCTTACGAGTGCTGTAGCGGCATTGATATATTTGGTATCATAATCTCTCATACTTTATAGCGTACATACTGAAAATATAATAGATAAGAATATATAATATTATATATGAGTATTTTTTTTTTTCTTCCTCCCTAGAGATTTAAATATATCCTCAGTAAAATCATAAATTTAATGGAGTTCTTTTTAGTGAATAATATATTGCAAGAATATTATACCCTAAGAAGTTACCCAATTAAATAATTAAACATAGGACTCTTCTATCATATTAAAACACTTTTATACATGTATTAATTAGATACTGCTTCATATTATTACTGAATTCTTGATTTCAGCAGATTTTATTGTAAACTTCTAATGCAGTTACATATGTCAAATATATGTAAAAATATAAAGGGAGTTTCTTCCTTTTTTTTTTTCTTAATTTCTTACCCCCTAACATACCTAGTCAGCATGTGTTAATCCAATTTAAGATCTTCTGGCATTCCTTAGTTTAGAACTTCAGACATAGGCATTTTTTAATTAAATATTTGACATTCCTATTGATATGCCCATTCTATATACAACCTTTAAAGAAAAAATGTGTCTTCTGTGGACTATTGGGCGCGGTTATTCTTTTTCATAAGATAAATTATTTTATTAGTCACAAATATCGAGATGCATAATAAAAACCCCCAATCATGTATTTTTAGAAAATATGATTTTAAATTTGGCTGTTCCCTATATACAAAAATATAGACACTGTCAGAAAAAAAAGAAATGTGTACATTCTGACAGTTATTATGAACTGGATATACAGTGTTTTATGTAAAAGAGGTTTAATACTCCTTTACTATTTCGTCCCTGTGTGTGCTATGAATTTAAAGATATATATTCTAAGGAGCGCTTTGTCAAGCTAAATGGAGAATAACATTAATCAACTTAGCATAAACAGTACACTTATTTGTTTGTCTTATATGAATGTTACTAAAAAGAAAAGAAGCAAAAATTATAGAACATAAATGAATTTGAACAAAAACAACACTCATTTCAATAAATAATTAGAACCTTGTTAGAATAGTGTACACGTACGTATACCTTTTATTCTTCTGCTTGAACTATGGGGCAGCGGCATGTACATTTCCTTCATTGCCTTCTACGAAATGTAATACTTTTGTTGTAAAAAAGTATAAAGACACTTGGATCGTACCCAATTGTTCACTTTATGTTTGTGCCTCTTTTACGTTAAAAAAAATAAAAGTCTAATCAATAGAATTAGTTAGGCTCAGAACATGCATGTTCATATTACCTCTTTTTCATTTGTATATATTTCCTTAAAGGGTTACAGTAAGAATACTAAAAATTGAATTTTAAACTATGCTACTTTTTTCGTGGAGTTGGTACCACTCTGTCGCTTTTCAGGAACTATTCATGGGGGGCACATATACTTATAAAGAATGAACCCTTCCTTCTACAGAGGGACGAACTCTCTCGATCATATAAAAATCAATGCTCGCCAAGTCAGACATTCCTCTGGGTAGGCATGGGTACATTCAAGTCATTCTCCCTACTCCATTTAAAGCAGTATTGTATGCTCCTTATTCTTTAGGAGCATAGCCCAGTCATACACTCTTAGCATGTTAACACATCAATTTGACGAATATGGTATTGTCTTCACCTCCCTTTATTCCTGAAATTGATTTTACCCACGATTTACACACAAGGCGGAACACGACATAGCCATAATAAGTATCATAGCAATGTTATAAAAAAAAAGACAAAGAGTTTGTTCATTCAATCCCGCCCCCTCTCAATTATAAGATACTTCCACATTACACTTGTGTAATGAAGAAATGCACTTGCTCTCAACCACAAATAGATCGCATCCAGTTTAGGAACTACCTCAACAGGACAAGTAAATCTTCTATGCATTTTTAAAAGATGTTAAGAAATTCGTCCTTCACGTACCTCTCTCAAAAAGACGCATCCTTATCAATATTGTTAGTGTTTAATACAAAATAGGAGTTCACGCATTGGTTCACATATTGGTTCACATATTGGTTCACATATTGGTTTACATACTGGTTGACATATTGGGTCACATAGTGGCTCACATCCTTGCTCACATTTTGGCTCACATTTTAATGAATCTTCCCCAAAGATATTTTTTTCATTTGAACAATTTCTTAGATTTCCTACAACCTTAACTATTTGGCAACTCTCATATATATTCTTACGCGGCTCTCTCCTGTTCCCATCTCTAATTACTTTCCAATTAAAACTATATTGATTTTGCGCTTTCCTTCTCTCAGATTATCTGAAACATATCTACTAATTTCCAATTAAAAGAAAAAAAAATAAAGAAGATTTGCGGCCTAAGCTTGTCTATTGAAATATAAATATATGGTGAACTTTTTTTGGGGGGAGAACTATTTCATTTTTATAAACATCTGCTTCTGTCTTACCATAATTTTGTTGTTCTTCCTTATATTAGAACAAGTTTTTCTATTTGTTACTTCTTATTTCTTCCTTGTTATTTTTTATTTGTTTCTCCTATTTGTCGTTTCTTATTTGTTGGTTTTCATTTGCTATTTGTTGCTTCTCTGATTTCCTTCACCATTGAAACAAGTTCTTTTTTTTCGATTTCAAAATCCCTTTTTGTTCTTCATTAGAACATTCTTTCTTGTGCTTAGAACAGCTCCATCTTGTCGCTCCTAAGGATAGGACAATTTTCTTTTTTCCTATGGATTTGTCTTGGTTCTGTTTTAGAGCATATTTCTTTAATCCTCTTACTAGAAATTTTTTTTTCTTCATTTCTCTTAAAATATAGAAAAATATAAATATTCCATAAGTAGAGGTAAAATTTGCAGATATATATACACCTATAACGTTGATGCCAACTTGTTAGAAAATGAATCTCAAAGGACCCCCGAGCTTCGTGCATTCCCCTTTTGGAAAGGAATGGAAGGCTGGGAAAAAAGGAATCTGAAAGAGTTGTTCCTTCTGTGTTTTTCTCTTTCCTTGTTTGGTTTCTCATCTTTTAACTTTTCTCAGGTAAGGAACAAATTGCATAAATTCTTTGCCGAAAGATCCTCTGACACTTTGCATTTCTCCTTGGAAATTCTTCTGCCTAACCTCTGTACCTCCTAACACGCATGAACAATACACTCACACATATAGATAAGGATGTACATACTCAGATGTAAATACCCCCACACGCACGCACAAAAAAAATATCCTCGCCCTATTTACAGATCAAGTCAATATCAATAAACCATTGAACCGGAACCAGATAATTGCTCGTGCGCTCCTCTATTAAAATTGGCTCCACATAACAAGAAAATCTCCATTACTAGTTCCAATACAAATATCTCTGAACGTTCTCCGGTATATATGCATGAAAGGGTTCAGAACTTACCCTTCCATTGTCATGTTTCTAAACTCTCCAAACATGTAATAGAAGAAGAGATCAAGAGACATCTTGAATCTTACGGGGAATATATAACACAATGAAACGCATATATTGTATTCGACTATGTGTACAATTTGCAAGGAAAAAACTATAATGGCATGATCGAAGAGTTGTTGAAGCACTTTATGGACCTGGCGTGGAAGTATGGAATACGAGATAAGTACTGATATAGGTGCTGCTCAAAATGCAATAATGAACTCCTCAGTTAAATAAAGGATACCGACCATTTCGACCACATGGATTTATTTACTCATATAAGAGGAAACATTAAAAACAATGCAACAGTTGCAAAATATATAGAAGACAAAATGAAGTTATCTAACGAAATCATCGAGAAAAATGGGGAAAAAGGGACCAAATTCTTGACCGAGCGGATCAAAAATAGAAGCTACAAAAAATGAAGTGTCCCCAAAAATAAAAATAACATCCGAATGATAAACATTAATGCGTGTCTCAAAAAAAAAAGAAAAACTTCAAAAAGACAGCTTTGTTTTTTGTGTATACATAATATCAATCTTATTTGTTCATGTACCATATTTTTTTCTTTTTCTTTGTCATATATCGTTTCCTCAAAATAATTTGTAATACTAGTATTTCTGCACGAATACATAATAAACTGAAACTTTAAATATGCAGAATCCAACGCATGGAATTGCATTACAATTTGGTTGCAGCAATTTTAAAATTCCTCACCTGAAGGTTGTATATTTTTAAAGTAATAATTCGATCTGCTTAAAATTAATGATAAAAATTTCCTTAAAATGTGTTTTTTGACTTTCGTTTAGCTCTCCCTTTTTTTCACTGTGGGCGAAATGCTTAAAATTCGTCCATTCGAAAGGGGGAAAAGGATTTCTAAACATTTCCATGTTGGACGTGAAAAGTCTCTCAAATATTGCGCGCGCGATTTTTTCAAGGGGAAAAAAGTGGCATTAGTTTTTCATATATATACTTATAGTTATAATGTAAGATTTTTTACTGTTTATATATTTATTTCTTTTTTTTCTTCTTATACACTTGATTTTTCACATTTCGCGCCTTTGTCACATGATCATATATACAAATTGAACATTTTAAAAATTTGCAAATATGGTCGCCCTCAGCTTGTTACAAGATCGCTTTTTAAATCCAATGCAATATATAAACATTATCGCGCTATTCAGAAATTAGGGACTTTAAAATACTCCCTCAGATATTATTAAATGAGTTAGATTTTTACTTATTCATATTAAGGTTCCGTAGCTCAGTTGGTTAGAGCGTGCGGCTGTTAACCGCAAGGTCGTTGGTTCGATCCCAGCCGGTACCGAACTTTTTAATAATACTTTTTTTCACCACAGCAGGGAAAAGGTAATGGTTAGTAATCGTTTTGCTATCTTTACCTTAAAATTATAAATATTCATAACAATATAACATTCATCTGTTTTGCAACTGCGGGCATCTTTCCCATTTCGCACCATCCCACCAAATTCAGGGTATGTTTAGCCAAAATAAATCCATTTGCATAATGGAAGCACGCAATCCTGTTGTTCATGAAAATTTCCAACTCACAGGAGAGCAGTTTTATTTATTTTACAACTCCTGGTTGAGCGCCAATATGTAAATTTAAAAACATCTACGGTTGCTTTTTTTTTCTTTTCCTAATATATAAAAAAACGAATCCCCTAGTATGTTGCCAGAATTCATGCTTCTTGCAGCTGCGACAATACGTGGCGCGAAATTGTTAGCAAATTTTTCCATATCAAACTTATGCCCCACTTGGGGAGAATTGCGTTGATTTAAAAAACATTCCCAAATGGGATCCAATCCCGTTAAAAGAACGCATGAGTAATAAAAATAAAACGCATTGAAAAAGGAACCAACACAATGGCAACATTAAAAAGGCCTGCACACGCTGCCACTGGTCGTATATGTAGTGGTGTGCGTCCCCCCTAACTCGGCTTTAGACGCTGTGTAATAACAACAGCCGAATTGTTGTAGCTGGCATTCATATACTTAATGTCAAAATTATTAGGATAATACTTTTCCGAAAAGATATGTACCGGATAGTTAATTATTCCTTTATTCTTATAGGGAGTTATTTGATGCTTGTTGTTATACCCCCAACCGTACAGCTTATCATTCAGAATTAGCAAACAATGCTTATCGCCACAGGAAAAATCTTTTATTTTGTTGTTAGGAAGCTTTACAGTAGATAATGTCTGCTGATGTTTGCCCATATGTCGTCCACACTGAAAATACATATTATCTCCGAAACAAAACAATTGCTTTCCAAATTTGTCATTTGAATATATCATGGAGAAATTCGACCCTGCATTAATTCTGTAAATCTCATCAACCATTTCGTTGTCATTCATTCTTTTTAGTACCTTCTGTGGACTACTTTGTATATGTCTATCATAAAAAGAATAATTTGCCAAATTCTTTGTTACAGTGGAATAGCCAAGTCTTAACTGATCTTTCCAGCTGGTTCCTGACAGGGAATTCTGATTTGTTCTGCTCTCTCCCAACCCTAGTTGGATTTTACTATCGTCTCCGAAACTGTAAATATTATTTTCATCGTCCAGACATAATGTATGGTTTAGTCCACAGGACACATCAACAATTTTTGTTTTTCCCTCAAATGGTACTTTATTAAGATGTACATAATTATTTTTATCGCAGTTGTAGCTCTGATCATTCGTGATTAAATGACTCAATCGTTTTCCATCTTGGGATCGTTCTTTCCTTTGTCCACGAATATTGGTGTATGTCAAGAGACTACTACTATCGTTTAACTCTTTGCCATTTTTGTCCACATCGTCGGTACCACACAAAGCTGTATCCCCTCTCTTAATCTTCCCATCTGGTGGGCTAGAAGTAATTCCATCAAGGCAATCGGTACTCTTGGTAGGAATGGCCATTCCTTTATCCTGAACCCTGAAGGAGTACCCATTGGGGATATTTTCCGCTTGGGCATCTTCACTTGGGTCTCTTCTCTCATTGTGAACAACCCCCCTGACGCTATTTTTACTAAACATATATAACGTACCATTCAATTTGTTGGCAAATTCGAAATTGTAATTTATATTGAAATTATTCCTAAATGATGGCTCCTTTGCACACTGTCCATACAAATTATTTCCTGAGCAATACACATTTCCCTTATTTGTGACAAAAGCTAGGTGATATTTATTCACACTTAACTTGATTATTCGTTCGCTCTGAGAAAAAAGACTATTTTTACATTTATAAAAATCTTCAATTAGGAATTCGTTTCTCTTTAAACAATTCTTATAATTTCTAACAATTTTTAATTCCCCTTTTTCGCTCAGAAGGTATATATCATTATTCGAAAATTGTATGTCGGTAATTCCTTCATCTGTGCTTAGTTTCATTGGAGTGGTATAGACCAGTCCCTTGTGTTCATCATCTTCATATGATCCCCATATGTAAATGTCATCATTATCGGTTATACAGCTACCTATGCAATTACCAAATGTTATCTTTTTCACCTTTATGTTAGTTTTTGAAAAAAAAGGTGCCTCTCCATCTTGTTTCGTTCCTTTCATCAACGATCGCTTATCGCCAAAAAGGAATACTTTTTCTTCTATCTTCCCATTTCCGCAATAACAGACACTTCTCTTTCTGTTTATACAGTAGTAACCACTCAATGCAACTGCAAGGTACCTAGATAAAGGGAATGTCATTCTGCTGCGACGTCAGGGGGGATATACTGTGGGGGACTGATTTTACAATTCAATGTCCTCTTTAAGCATCTTCATCGATACTTTGAAGTGGCGTTTTCTTTTATTTTCCTATTGCTTTCTTTTTCCTTTTCGTATTTCCAAAAGGGATAGTTTTACACAAAATGTACGAACTGCGGGGGAAGCACTTGGAATGCCGATTAAAGGGGGCACGTTACAGATGTGCTCGCGTTGAAGCAACTGGGGGAAAAGCTACCCACAAGAAAAATCATGGGAGAAATCGACATATACTCGTCATTTCACTTCCTCCCCCGCAAGCTCGCATTAGCGCTGTACATTAAAAACCGTACATTGCACATAGGAAATGACTGTGGAAAAAAAAGGCTACATTAACTACATTCCTTCCACCCTGCGCTCAGAGAAAATTGCGCCACAAAGCTAAGTTGGTCCAAAAAAATTTCTCAATGCCTTTTTTACTCCCCGTCTGTATTTTTTCCTAACAATAATATCTTCTACCATTGCGTTTTTGTATTCTCATTTACCCATTTGCCCCTGTGCCACACTACTCGTAATTTGGCACTTGGCAAGGGAGATAAGAAAATTTCCCTTTGTTGTTCCCCCCGAGAAACTTCATGAAAATTCAAAAGATGGAGAAAATACAAAATTGAGAACGCGGAAAATGCACCATTTCTGTATCTGTAGGAAACCTCATCATTCGACGTTTTTGCTTAGGGCACCATGTCACCTCACCAAAATGGCAATGCAGCCATAATCGCCCAATCTTACTTTTACGCCAAAGTACGGCAATAGCTTTTCTTTGGCATTCACATACTTTTGTTTTCCCTGTCCGTTTTATCGCGCCTTTGTTTTGTTTTTGTTCCTCTCCTACGCTGTTTCCCAACGCGTAACAATATCAACCCCCCAAAATAACCCATTTTTCGTGCCGAAGAAACAAGTGAAAAAGCTGACCGGGGAAAAAGAACGAGTGGACCATTTTTTAGAGTAGCCAAATGTGAATTACCAAACATGCTAGATGGGTAGTGAGCATGATGAGGGGAACTTCACAGAAATAGAAAGCACGTTGAGAAGTGCTTGGTCGTAATTTTTTCGACAAAACTGACTGACAACCTGAGATACACCAATTTTAATCGACCGCGGCAACGACCGCAACCACCGCTCACCAACAGGCCATTTAACACAATGGAAAACCTTTACAATGACATGGAAGAATATGGCAAGATATGCCAACTGTACACGGAGAAGAAACAAAAACGAGAAAAAAAAGCGAACAACATTAATGATCTAATAGATGAAGACATACTATGGATGTACGAAACGAAGGAAGAGAAGGAGGCTAAGGAACAGGAAGAATATTTATTGGGGAAAAAAATTGATATGCAAAAGTTAATCGAAGAAGAGGAAGAAGCCAAAAAGGAAATCCTAAAACAAAAAAATAATATAGATCATTTGAATAAAATCAGAGAGGATCCACTAACTATTATTAAAAAAATGGAATTCCAAAAGAAGAAAATGATGGATGAACAGAAGAGACTCTTGCAGTTGCAGCACACCAAGGAAATGCCCGAAGCGAATGCGATAACTAGACAAAGCCACAGAAGAGGAAGGAGCTCGTCAAGTGAAGAGGACGTTGTGCGATCAAGAGAGAAGGAGAAAAACAGGAAAAAGAGAAGGAAAGAAGAAAAAAAAAAGGAAAAAAGACGAGCGAAAAAAAGAAGGAAAGAAAACAGTAAGGAAAAAAGGGAAAGGAAAAGAGAAAAGAAACGAAAAGAAAGAAAAAAACATAAAAAGGAAAGGAAAGAAACACAGGTCAACTCAGACGCAGAGTCCGAATCGGAAGAGGACAAGAAAATGAGAAAATCCAGAAAGAGGGAACGTGGGAGAAGTGATGAATCGGAAAAGGCAATGACAAAGGCGAGAAAGAGGGAGCGCGGGAGAAATGATGAATCAGCCAAGGAAAGAGTTCCCGACGCACGTCGGCAGCGAGAAAGAAGAAGAGGGGAGTGTACTGAAGGCGGAAGTGAAACAGACAGCGGACTTGACAGCAGACGTGACAACGAACGTGATAACGGATGTGACAGCGGAATTGAAAGCGGCAGTGCCAGTGGTCGTCATCTTGCTAGGCTTAGAAAGTCCAAAAAGAACAGGCAAGAGAACAGTGCCAATGAATATAGCAGTGGTAGTAGAAGTGACCTTAGCAGTGGCCGAAGTGGGAAAGAAGAAAAACAGCGACGAATGGAATGGGAGCATGAGAGGCGACGACGATGGAAACGCCCGCGAGAAGTAGATGAATAGACAGACAGGCAAAGTTCTACAGAGCGCGAAAGAAAAAGGTGGAGAAACGATCGCTGACTCAGGAATCCACACATCCAAGCGCATACGCAAAATTAAATTAAAATTTATTAGAAAAAAAATAATGTATAATGTCTCGTCGAGCTCTTTTCCTTCCTTTTTTTTTTCTGTGTATTTCAAAACGAAATGATGACGCACAAATGAAGAAACGAAATTGCCAAAAATTTTCCGAAGGGGGAAAGTAACCCATAGAAGAAAAGTTCCACTTAAAAGCAAAACACGGAGTAGCAAAATCTGCAACATATTTTATAAAATGCATCGATTATGTTTATATATCATTGGCCACAATTGCACCGAACATGGTGATTCACATCAAAAAAACGCGATTAAATCAAAACGATCCAAAATAAGAAAGCATGCAGAACTGAATTCATCGACGGTTATAGGACAAAATACGGGGGTGTTTAAATTGCGTTTCTTGTACAAGACTTGAAATAATGAGCCTTCAACATTTCCGCAGTGTACACGAGCATGTATTCCAAATATATGAACTTTTTTCAAATTTTACATTTCTATTTTACAAAAAAATCAACAAAGTGTCCATCAAAAAAATGGCGCTGCTTAATCGGAATAACTGCTCGAATCCTCAACATAATAATATCCTTCTTTTTTCATATTTTTTGAGTGAAACTGGGGAAAAAAAAATAAAAGTCATGTTAAAAATTATTTAGTTGTTACAATTAGAAGGAAGACTGCGCACATGTAATACATATACATATGTACTTATATTCATGCCCCAATTTGTTCTATGCCGAGAGAGCTTTAAATGCAGGTGAAAACCCTTCTGCCTACTTCTTCATATTTGTTGTCCCCCAAGCTCAGTGGCAATGTCTCCCCGCTTCGTTTACTTCGTTCCCGTCGTATTCCCTTTAAAAAAGTGAAACGAGAATGGAATTTTTTCACGGGAAAAATTTTTCCCAATACGCGCGCACATACCTACTCATAATTTCATAACCAAACATGCATAGCTACACGTGCATGAGTGTACACATCTGCACGCACGTGTTTGTCATATATACCCTCCTTCTTGACATTTTTTGTCCATTTTTTTCGTCTACTATTGTTATATCCTTCAACTTCAAATAGGAAAAGAACTCATATAAATTGTCTCCTATATTATTTATCTGAAAAAATGAAACGTAAGAGGTTCGCATCGCATTTTCGACTTGCACATTTTGCGAGGCCGCAAGCAATTTTCTTGTTTCTCTTGTTTCTCTTCTTTTTTTTTGTTATTTTTCCCTATTTTTACCTGTTCGTCACTTAAATCTAAGGATATTCTCCTCGCATGTGTCACAATCTCCCTTTTCAGCTCCTCCTTGTCTGCTTTGTCAACAAAGAAACGCCAATTTTATTATGTGTCGCAGGCAGATGGGATATTTGTGAATGTTTTATTTAGTAGGTACACATAACTTTACATGCATAGACACACTTGCTGCTGCATTGTTAGCATTTTTCTGATTTCTTCTTTCTTTACTTACCTCTAAAATTAATCACGTCATTAATTTTAAGCTGTAGCGGCGTCACCCTTTTCCCGGCCACCCACTTACAACCGAACAAAAATGCAGATTTTTTTTTCAAAGCATAGCTCTCAATAGGATGAATGCAAAATAGGAAAAGCAATAATGCAATAACTCTTAATTCCATACTTCAAAACAAAGTGGGCGAAATGTGACGGAAAAAGAAAAAAGCAACATTCTTACAATACAATCGTATGACGACAGTTTATATCATCGTTATACGCAACCATAAATCAGTTTTCCCAGTTTGTACGATTTCTCTTTTTGAAAAATCGAATTGTTCCCAAGAGAAACGTATAACTCCTTCAGCCACTCCCCCTGTGGAGAATATGTTTCGCTTCGTGAGTGTCGGTTCCGTCAGAAGTGGTGCCAGTACCATTACGATCTGAAAAGTGTAATATATTTATGTATATATATACATATATATGCATCTGCAACCATATGGGTGGCTGTTGCCCTTTATTGGGGCCCCAATAAAGAGTCATATTCCCATGAAAGGGAAATTTGGTGGCACATACAGCCACAATTTTTTTTGGCATACATTGGTATGAAGTACATTGATGTAACTTCAAATATTTGCGGACAAAAGAAGGAAAAATTCTCCATGTCCCAATTTTTCACAGGCGTTGATACAGAAGTGGCGACAACATGTGATGGGTGCCTAAAATGACGTGCCCGTATTACATCTCCTTCGATGGCGCGCGAAGTTGTTCCCTATACGTTATGTCAAGCCCCGTAAAAGGATGGGAAAAAGAAAAGATTAGAGGTGGAAAATTATTTCCAATGACGAAGCATCTTTCTTACATACTCTTCTTAGGCTGCCATAGGTACGGCAGCACAAAAATAGTGATTTGCAAAAATTGGGGTCAAATGAGAAGTGAAATAAAAAGCACATGGAACAGAAAAGTGACCTACTATATTCCCAAAATGAAAAAAAAAAAAAACTCCAAAAAATGTTTGCATAAACAGGTACATATAAATGTTACATATGTAACATATGTACCACTCCTACATTAGTACCTCGCGCGCACGTTACCTTCATGTAAATGCTCACGCTGGCCAGGCAAATCGCAATTTATAAAACCATGCCCTTGGTTTCTCTCGCGCGGCCCAGAGCAATATTTATAGAAAAAAAAAAAAATAAAATAAACGGAGAAAAAAACTTCAAAATGTACATAACGAATATATGGGAAAATAGATGGAAACATAGATTAACTGTTTATAACATTTCCGTGTTATGTTTCCACTTATGCCTTATATAACTCAGTTTGTGTCCCATATGATGTGACATTTATGTGGCAACGTATGGCCGCATGTATGCGGCCGTTCATGTAGCAGCGTATCATTCTCTTTCTGTTGCCGCTTATTAATGGCATATGCCCCTACTTTCCATTTCTTCCCCCTGCAATTGCAAGGGGGCAGAACAACAGCCCGCTAATTATCCCAGGTACATTGTTTACCTAATAAAAACATAATTTAACAATGTGAATATCTCCCATTATGTAATTTGTCAACAATTTTTAACTGTATTTTTTTCTTTTTTTTTTTCAGTTCCCTATTTCATACGAAATTGTTGCCTAGAACCCATGTGCAATTTTTTTAAGCTTAAATTATTTCAGCTAGTCTGACCCCCATTTGTGAGCGAAATTATCGCTTTGTTTTGTCATTTGGTGCCCCTTTTGTGCCCATTTTGTACCCATTTCGATCATTCTCTTTTTCTTTCAGTCCTGTTCTCAATTCACCGAGTTGATCCATCAGCGACCGGTACGCCCGACGGGGATGCCACATCAAATCGTCCCTTCAGTTTGTGCTGAATCGTTTCTGTCTAAAGTAACTTCAATTCTCCCATTGCGATTTCTTATTTGTCTTAACGTCATTTCTTCGTTAAAATCTGTGTCACTTGTTCCCATATGTTTTTTTAAGACATGTTTATGTGCCTAACTAGTGGGAAGCTTTTAATTTGCTACTGCTCTCACCCCCTATGGAACCAACATCCTGGTGTTCTGCAAATCCTCCTCCTAATGCTGCCCTAGCCCCAAAACACCAAACTGCACAATGGATAGAATCCTGTTGAAATACATTTTTGACGAACTTTGCACGAGTTTCAACAAAAAGGAAATAACCTCCCATAGTAAAAAAAAAGAGGGCACTGATAACAACAGTCATAATCAAGTTAACTACTGCATAACGCTGCAGGAGTTATTCGAAAATTTGGAGAGAAATAAAAATGTGCCCATGGATGTGTACATGAAGAGAGAAGTGCTTCGAATTCTGTACTACTGCAAAGATGTAAGCATATCACGACAAGGAAAGGAGGTAGCCGAGCCTGGGGAACCTGGCAAGCCCCTGGCAGACAATTGTAGAGTCTATCTAGATCAATACAACAACCATGTTGAATCCCCCCCGGAAGAAGACCCAAATATCATCCTAAACACAGCCAGTCAATTCAGTCTTTACATAAACAACATCTACATATACAACAAGCACAATCTGTTTTACTACGAAAGAATCAGAGAGTGCAAAGAGAAAATATTGATCCTGTTGTATATTATTTCCGGGAAGTACAACGGACTAATTCAAAGCTCTCTGGCGAAGTACCTCAACATCGATGTCAAGATGGTGCACTATCACCTAAAAGTTCTATTCCAGTATTTGCTAATAAAAAAAATAAGCATGAACATAAGCAATTTGGAGGAAACCCTAGATTATTGCAACCACAACATGCATAGTAGCAGCAGCAACAACAACACCATAAAGTTAAACCCGTCCTACATCCTATACTTTAACATCTATTTTATATATAATTTGCTGCCCATATTTATAAAGAACGTGTTATACTCTCAGAACGTCCTTTCGATAAATAAAATTATTCTGCACCTCCTAAACAAATTCATTATAATACCACAGAAAATATTATCCCTCATATTTTTCAAACTGCTAATTGTGTACAACCCATACTATTATATACAAATTAAAAAGGCGCTGAAGATATTCAACTCCATTTTGTCCCACCTAATTCGGAGAAAAAAAATAATAATGTGCAAAATTAAAATCCATTCATCGTACGAAAATTGCTATTTAAATTATGAAAATAAAGATAAAATAAATTACGACAATATTATTAACTTTCTAGTTTTGTTTTACCACAACTACGATTACCTCATCAAGTTTATAAACAAATCTTGCTACTTGATGTGCGAAGATTATGTCCAGAAAATTGAATTCAAAAATGAGTTCTTCAGTAGTGACGTTACCAAAGCGGGTGCGTGGGATCAATTGGGGATACACCTAAAAAGGGGGGACACCTCCACCCAGTCGGCACAGAACCTCCGCGTGCAGAGTGGCCTCCACGGGATGTTCAAACACTCGGAAGGTTACAAGACACGGAGAACGGTATGCCCCTTAACAAACCATAGTGCACCAAATGCAGATCCATTCCCCATGAGTCACTTCCCCCCGCGTGTCTACCCAAACGAAACAACTATCGACGCCCCACAAAGCAGGGACAGCACCTTGGAGGACGAGGAAAACATCTTCATGAATGAGAAAAATTGCAATTTGCAAATAAACGAGTTCAAAAATTACATGGATTTAAACATCCACCATAGACTTAACGACACGGACTATTACTCTAGCTCACATAACGGGAAAGAAGAATCAAGCGAATCGGAGTTTTCCTTTCTTTATGCAAATAAAAAAGCTGAAGATTTGCCGAAAGAAACCGAAGAAATTAACAAACCGATTCAAGATGGAAAGAAAAGATCGTCGTCCTCGCAATCGTCTGCCTCTTCCACCTTAGACAGCGATTCGGATAACAACACCTACACCAACCACTCTGTTAAGAATAAAAACTTGTTCTTAAACCACCTCTCACTGTACAATAAAATTAAGTACCTAATTATGAGCAAAGGGATAAGGGGAATGACAACCAAGGAAATATCACAAGTACTTCTGATGTCCATTAAAAAAACGAACACCTTTCTTAGCAAGCTCGTTCGAAACAAAGAAGTTGTAAAAATACCAGAAAGGAAGGACAAAAGCTTTATGTACCGATTTATTGACAATTACATTTACCAATATGTGCAGAAGAGGCCGCAGGCCCTTGTTTACAAGAGTAATCAAACGTTACAAGGCGTAGTAAAAAATGACGAGGCAGCTCCGGGGGGGGGAGACCATTCAATGAGAGGTGAAATTATTCTAGATGATCTATCGTTAAAAGGGAACAGAAATTTTCTTCCCATTAACCAAATGATGAGCACCTTGCTTGATCAAAAAAGAAGTGCCCTCCCAACAGATGACCACACCGTAAGTATCAACCAACCAAACGAAAAATTCAACAGTAACAACATTGCGCAGGAAAACATTAGTCACATACAATTTAACAAATTAAACGAGTCCTTAAATGTGCTAAACTATATCAACACTGTGAACGAAATAGACATAAACGTGCTGACCTACATCATACCGAAGCAGAAGGACTCAGTGGACAATTTCGGCAACTATAAAGATTTTTTTGACCATTATGTGCAGAACTTCAAAACTTTTGAAGATAAATATGATTTATACACGTGCAGTTTTCACTTCTTCTACTACTTAAAATTTGTTCTGAAACGGGACATGAGTCATTCCAGCCCAAAATGCAGCACTGAAAAGGTGAAGAAGCAGAAGAGTCAAGGTGCCATTCTAAAAGAATCGACAAACGATGAAACGTGCGCAATGCGTGAAGATGACCCCGCCTTGAATAAGGTAGACTCATCCGAAAAACACATCAATTTTATTAAATACTTCATGGAAGATACAACCAAGTTAAAAAGTAACCTCTTTATTAAGAGACTGTTCATTTTTTGCCACTTCCTGCTTAGTTCTAAGGTGACTACATTTCGGTATCTTCAAGATCTATTTATCACCATAGAGAACAATGGAAGAACAATTGACAGAAAATCCGTTCAAAGGCTTTTTAATTACTCCACAAAAATTAATGCCTTTTTTAAAAAGTACACCCTTCTTAACAGCAAAACGGTTAAGTACTACTTCTACGATTCGAATGTCCTATCCGAAAAGCAGTCCAACGATTTGTATGCAAAAATTCAACAGGACTATGCCATTTCGTCGTACAAACACACGAATTCTAATGATAAAACGAATAAAGAGAAAACAGAATATTATAACATATCCAGTGGTGACATCATCAGTAAGAAATTTAAATACACCGCTAATATTTTCACCGAGAAAGAGAAAAGTGCTAGCCATTCTGCGCAGCAAGGGGGCGTCCCCACAAAAGATGATTCCAACTTGACCGCACAGATGTATAGTAACGAGGTTGACGCATCTTATTTTTCATCCAACCGGGAAAAAGCACTGGTAGATGATTTTATCGATCTGACGAAGTATCCTGAAAATAATCACCAAAGGGGAATGACATTGTACAATTTCTCAGCTACAGCTGAAGACCCCAATCTGTGGCACACCACACTATGCAATGAAGAAGCGAATATAGGTGCCCCTAATAATGACCCCCATGGAACCAAAGGTAGATGTAACCAAACGGGTTCTAACCTGTCCGCCTCAATTCCGGAGGCCACAATGATAAATTCATTCCCACGTTTGGAAGTAGCCAACCGAAGCAGCAAGAGAAAAATGGCTACAACTTCAATCCACTGGCTCAGTAAAAGAGGCAAAATGGATCAGCCACACCAAATTTGTGGTATTGAGAACAAACTTCCCAGTGGCGAAAATGGTGAAGTAACTTCGTACCACTTCAATAAAAGTGGCATAAATTCCACCCTCAATGATAGAAACGAGATTTCCAGAGGGGGACACCCCATAGCAGAAACACAAGGTAACAGGCCTAGTGCACAACTCAGCCGCAACAACAACACTGCGATAAGTTTAAACCAAAAAGGCACGGCCTGCAACGTGCTTTATATTGACATTCTAAACGAATCAGCCTTTAAATGTAAGGAAAATCAAATTATTAGCAAAGAAATAAAAACCAGCAAAGTTTTTCAAAATTTTAAAACCACCCAAGAAATCTCCTACACCATAAACTACTTCAACGGGTACATCTTTTCAAAAATGGCCAGATATAAATATTTCCACAAATGCTTAATAAGGATACTGAAGGGGAAAAAGAGGAAAAGGGCAAGAAGAACGCGCACTGCAGAAAAGGCAAACGAATGTAACGCCTCGGCTTTACTCACTCCAAAACCGGATAATCCCAAAAAGAGGAAATTATCATATATAGAAGAAATGAAAAGGAAATCTTCCCCTAAAAGGGCCCATAAAGTAGCCTCCAAACGAAGCAGCAATACATTAACTGTGAAGGACATTTTGAAAAATCTCTACCTAGATGAATACCTAAAAATAATCAGCGTGGGATGCAAACTCAATTACATCGAAAATTATCTCCTACATGAGAAAAGAAAAAAGAAAATGAAAGATTTACCCCCAATTCTCTTCGAATTTTTGACATCCTATTCTTCACTAAATTGTAACAAGTACCGCATGATCGAAAGTTTTCTCCTAAACAAGAACGATCATCCGCATTTCCTCAATTCACCAATCAGCACATTCGTAACAAAGGGGAAAACAGGGACCCCTATGACCTCCCTATCGCTTCACTCAACCGAGGCGGAAACACCCACCCAGAGTGCCACTACAAATCGAGTACAGAAAAACATGCGAGCCAGGGATAAGTCATATGAGAAACTAAACAGTGACCAATTGTCCCAACACGACATCAACGTTATCAAAAGCACTGACAAAATATGCGTGTTGCTTTTCCTCTACAGAAAGTTAAAATTTCTGTGCAACATGAATTTAGTAAAACTTAAATTTCAAGACATGAATAAAAATCATCCTCACAAATGGAAACCCATGGTTGGCTCAAATCCAAAAAACAGGAAACTTAATTTATCCTTCCTACATTTAAAAAAGAACAATTTGAAGATTATTATCAAGATAAACGTTAACATTCATTTGTTCGCGTCCAAAAAGGGTAGAAAGAAATTCCGGATGTACAACATGTTTCTCTACAACAACTTCGAAGAATACTACTACAACATATATGTAAATTTCCATTGATGAGGATCCATACGGGTTCATCTCGCCAACTTCTTGTGCGCTATATCTGACTAGATACTCACTAGAGTGTATATTCATAATATACTCATTTGCCCCTCTTTCTGTTTTTTCCCCCTTCAGCTGACCGTCGAACGGTTCAAGAGATTCCTCGTAGAAAGGCACCTGCAAAAAAGCGCTAGCGAAAAATTGACCCTACAAGATATTCTCAAGAGCTCCAAAATTAAAAACAAAGGACTGAAGTCTCTCCTGCTGCACAATGCCTACACTAACCAATTATTCCTAACGAGGAAACTCAGGAATCTGTTCATAAGCTTAGTTAAAAAAGTGAAAAAAAAAAATATTTCAAATTCGAAGCTAGACGAAAATTTAACAGCCTACAGGGAATACAACACAATCAGAGAATCATATAACGTATCTAGGAGTAACATTGAAAAATACTTTTCCGTCTTTTACGATTGGTACAGTAAAGAACAAAATGGGGGTGCAACAATGACAGAGAAGGACTTGTCCTTTTCATGCCCCTTCTGCAACAACGCATATTTTTTTAAAAACGATTTGCTCAGCCACATATCCAATGTCCATCATGTGAACAGGAATCTTTCAGACCTCATTTCCTTCTTTTCAAATTCTAAGCAAATGATACATAAGAAGCTCAGCGATTTTTTGAAGATCAAAAATAGAGTCAAAGAGAATGCGAGCAGCTCCCCTCCCTACATTTTTGACAGCCATTTCGATAACCTCAATCTGGCCAGCGCACCTAGGGGGAAAAATGCCACAGGTATAGGAAAACCCCATGCTCTGCATTACATTGACCAAACCGCCAACATATGCGGACCCGAAATTGCACCCCCCTGTGATGCATTTGAAAAACAGTTGAAGAAGCTGCCACAGATGAATCACCAAAAGAGAGTAGCCAATTCATGTAACAGGACTCATCTGCTGCACCAAGAATCCACGCAAATGAAGGGAAGACACACGGAAATTATTTCTAAGCGAGATAAGGCCAACGGTAGACACTGTGAGGAACCTGCCAATCTTCCCCTAACCAGATGCAAAAACGAGAAAGTCAAAAACTTAAACAATTTCATAGAAAACGTAAAGGTAAAATATTCCCTGCGAATAGTCTACATTTATTTCGTAACTGTAATTGTGAAGCTGGCCATGTCGCAGAAATATTTGGAAAAAGCGAAAAAAAACAGGGAACGTCAAAATGAGCGACTTCTTCTGGACAAACCGCATCAAAATGGGGTAAATTATTCCTCATCGGGATGGGCATCATCGATCAACGATAATTACCGAATGGATAGAAACATCCCACGTGATATTTCAAACCGCAGAGAAGTAACCGGGGGATGCTCCTCAAACGAACGAAAGAAATTGCACACGAAGAAGGACAAATTTACGAAAGAGGGAAAGAAAAAAGGGCGATTATTCAATGAAGTCACCACTAAATACCCAAATCGTTACGGTAAAAAGAACGAATTGAAACGCCGTAACAAACAGAGCGTGGCACTAGTACCTTCCCCTTCGGGAATGCCAGACGATCCCAAGTGTTTTGCATCCATCCAGCTGAAAAAATTCCATATAATATACCATTTAAAAAATAAGAACAACTCGGAACCGTACAAAAAGAGCATATGGATTATGGCAAACAATATGATGATCGGAAAATTTAAACACAACGTTTGCATGTATATCCAGAAAAAGCTATTTATCTATTTCAAAAAGAACATTGTTCACTATTTTTTCATTCTGTCGAATGAAAATTTTGCTAGGTGTATTCTGAACTACTTTGAAACGCACATATACAACTCTACCTACACCAACATCAATTATTACTACGATAAGTACATAAAAAATATTTTCCACTTTAAATTTATTTCGCTTATAAATCTGTTAAAAATTTTTATAATAAATTATGGGGATCAGTACGCACTGTACAGGGAAATTACTAAACCGTTGTATTTTCAAAAAATCAAGGACATAAAAAATGCCCTAAAATTTATAAAAAAGAGAAATTACATCGTGGATACATCGTATGTCTTATCATACTACATTGCCAATGATCTTGTGTGCGACAATGTATATTCTTATCTCATTTATAAATCCCTTTTTTACAAAAAGAAATTATCGCTATCTTTGAAGAAATCTCTTGTGGACAACGTTATGGATATTATTTATCTCTATGGAGTTTACCACTCTAAGAAAAATTCGGAGAACGTCCAAGCAGGGGCGCTGCACAGAGAGGAGAACATCCCAAACTGTCACTTAGAGGAATTACTCTACCACATCGATGCAGTGTATGACGATGAAGATGGCATAAAAAATGGGCGTCTCCATTTTGAGAAATTTCCGAGTGATACCACGCCGCCGGACGGTTACAAACATCCCAAGTTCAACGCTCAGCCGAATTTATACCCCATGCTAAACGACTTGAGCAGCCATACTTATGATCACACGGAATGCCCGATCCGTTCTCACGACACCTACGACGTCATGCAAAATGATAACTTCACGAACGCAAGTTCTAATGCAGAATGCACGAGGCACTACTTTCAGAAGAAGCTAACAATTTTCGACTTAAATTACTATGTTCATAATTTCCTTAAGGGGGAAATGACCCTGTGCGCGTGTAATAACTACATACTGGCGGATGAGGACGCACAGACGAAAGATGACCCCATCGGAGGTGATCCCTACGGGGAAGATGATCCCTACCATTTTGGCAACTTCGAGGAGGATCACTATGGGGATCATCACTATGAGGATGATCCATCTGACGACGATTCTTACGGGGACGATTCCTACCCTGAAGAGGGAGACTCTTCTCTGCATGACGACCAACTTAGCGACACGGAAATGGACACCCACCGACGAGGAAATAAAAAAAAATACAGACAAAAAAACCACGCACAAAAGTTCAAACGAACCAGAAAAAAAAAAACGAACAATTGCACCTCTCACAGTTTTAAAACCAGAAGGGGAAACAAAACAAACAATGTGGACTACCCAAGCGGATGTTACAAACAGGAAGAGAAAGCCTTGAGTTATATGTCATCCAGTGCCAACGACTCAGATATATTTGACAACCTTTCAGATGATTTCGAAATTATCAAACTTCTGGAAAATGCAGATGATGGAAGAAAGAAACTCCTCGGAGGAATAACCAAGCATATAAAATGTCTAACGAAACATGTTAGTGAGTACTTTCCCAATTACTACGTCCTAAACGATTGTAAAAAAAAAAAAATGGAAAAAAGATTGTCCCAAATTTTCTCCAGGGGTAAAGATAAAAATGGTTCCAAACTGAATAACTCTCTTCGGCACTTATACTATCACACCGATCAGCAAAACAACAGTCTCTTTACTTATTTTAAAAAATATTGCTTACACATATACGAGAATCACATCAGAGGTGCGATGGCGACTGGGTCCTTTAAAAATGCCCTCCTCCTAAACATTAATGAAACCAATCTCGTTAATTTTGCAAATCTTTTCGGGAAATATGTACAACAAAATAACTTTCACAACAAGGTCATTTATAGTAAGAACAAATTACTAATTTATAATGTTAGCAAAAAGTCCTTCATCGATTTTGATTGGTATCCTCAGAATATCCATCTATATAATATCGCCTATATTTCCAATGCCCCAAAGAGAGTCGACTCTTTGCTGGAAGTCCAAGTCACCAATATGAAAAATAGCGTTTATTGGCTCCAAAGAGGCAACCACAAAAAGGCAAAATTGGGGAGAAAAAAAAGGAGCGCCCATTATGTTTCGCTTATGACAAACGAAGGACAACCATTCCAGCAGATGTACAAGCACGAAAGCTCAGAAATTGCACCCACGGGTAGCTACCCCAAAGGAGGAAAGGAAACACCTGTACAATCACCCCACCGCTATAACACACGGAAAAAAACTTTTGTAAAAAAAGTGAAGATTAAAAAAGGAAAAGAAAAAAAGATGAACACCTTTAAAGAGTCATTTATCTTTGTTGCACAAATTTTATATCACGTTTTCTACCTGAGCGATATGCTAAATACATACAATGAGTGTACAAAGTACGAGGGTGACACATCCGAAAAAAAAGAGGGGAAAGCCTCTCCTTCTGGAGGGCTCAACGACATGTACAGAGACCGAGACAACGATAAAGCTAAGCATCATAATGTAATCCGGGATTGTCATGCCATCTGTGCAGATAGTGCAAAACGTGGAAGTGATAACCTAAATGGGGAACTTGGAGAAGCGGACGACGAGGAAGGTCCACTTGGTAACTTTCCGAGTGGATTCCCCACCAAACTGCCAATCCAACTGTCGAGCGAACTTCCGAACCACGACAACGAAGAGTATTACAACGTGAACAATTTCAAGCTGAACGACCCGAGAGTCATAAGAACGGTGAAACGGCTTAATGGACAAAAAGCCAAGAAACGCAACACCACACAGAAAAGGGCTTCGCACATGAAGACCCCCAGCAAGGACAAAACAAACACCCAAAAGAGCTCCCCCCTTTTTAGCAAAATAATACGCAGAATGATATTCATCCTTTTGTCTGTTAAGAAAAAAAAAAAAGAAGGACGTTTTATGGATAGTTTAAAAAAAATGTATTTACAAGAATTTTTAAAAAATACAACTTATAGGAAATACACACAAGTAAAAAAGGAGTATGATTTTATTCTTTTCCTCCTACACAAATTAAATCTTATAAATATATTCCCCCTCATGAATACACATAAGATATTTGTACCCCAATATCATAGCGAGAATAATGCGTGTAAAAGGAAAAATGTATTTTATGAGCACAACTTCAAGTACCCCTTTTTGAATATGATAAATTTCCACTTGGCTAATTTAAAACTGGAGTTTAAGAAGAGCACGGAAGGAGACACAGAGGTCTTCGAGAGGTTCCTACTGCAGAGGGGAATGCTCCCAAAAGGGGTGCTGCTAAGCCGCCAAAAGAAAGACACAGACGTCGCGGACGAAAAGTACGCGGGCAAGAAGAACATTGAAGAAAAATTCATTTACAACCACAGAAAACTAGTCTATACTGATTATATATACATAAATTACACAAATAACAAGACCCTGAGGAAACCGAATTTCATTCCAAGACTAATTGTGCTGTTCAACCTCCCATGCTACATCATCCTTCATGATTATTTTTTCCTCTACCTATTGGAATATTTTTGTAAAATGAAAGAGACCCTTGATGAAGAAACGCAAAGCGGATTTAAAGAGAATCATATCTATCGAACCAAACTTGGAGATAAACTACTGTACCTTATTGAAAATAAATCCTACCCCCGCGTTATAAGATATATAAAAAGGATTATTAACAAGGCGTGTAAATATTTTGAGCATATGCTCTTCTCATATAAAAGGAAAAATGATGCCCCATTTTACAAAACCGTTACGCTTTACTACTTTAATGATGACTACATAAATGTAAATAGCTTTACTTACATGAATGGAAGTATCAATGTGAAATTTATCTTTTTCTATATTTTAAAAGTGTTCTTCTACCTCAAGGCGAATCCGTTTTCCTCCATCTTTGACGTAAGGAAAGAGCGAAACGGGGAAATGGACACATTTCAGGGGGTGTAAAAAAAAAAAAAATGAAAAAAAAAGCGTTATCTTTTGTCACACCACTTCTGTGTACCAACCACCTGTGCCACAGTTGTGCCATGTTGAATTAACAATTGCCAATTCAAGAGAGGTGCTAAACCGCGCAGTAATATATGCAACGTAGAGATGTTCTCTTTCCTCTTTGGCCTTATTTTGCACCCCCCTGAAAACGAGAGACCCAGTTGTTCACATCGCTGTCCCTCCCCCAAACTTACAGAAGAGAAACAAACGCCTTGATGATCCTTATAGTGTCATCCCCTTGTGTATGCTCACTACCTAATTTCACATATTTCAATTTTGCACACACCATTCCACCCCTCACAGATATACAGGAGTACCGAAATTCTGAGCTTCTGCGACCTGAACTTCCTCCTAAAAGGCATGTGTCAGGACAGATTCATTTCCTTCAAACTGATGTACATATCGAAGAGGAGCGAGATGTACAAGCTAAACAAAAATTACAAAATTGTTAACCACTTCAACAATTTGGTACTAAACGAAAAAAAAAAGAAGAAACAAAATAGAGCATCTTCACCCGCCCCAGGGAAGAGAAAGCCCTGCTACATATTTGGTAACAGCACGAGCTCGGGTGAGGACCTTTCCACTGAAGATAACATTTTGAAGAAAGGAAAACGAAGGAAAAATGGAAGAGACCGAGTAAACAGCACGAATTGGGCGAATTCCACAACAGATGAATGGACAAGCAGCATCGAGGATGCCAACTTCATTCCCGAAAGCGAACGATACGAAGCCGCCTCCAATTATGATGCTTTCCTTGAAAAAATGTTGTACAAAAAGGTGAAGCTTTATTACGTAGCCGATGAGGGCGTCATTTTTGAAAAATACGCCGGCACGTTATGGGGCTGAGGTCTGGGAACGGGTGTCACCTGCGGGGAAGGTTTTTGCAATTCCGCGCACACAAAGGTGCACGTGTTTGTGTTTGATCATATGTCTATTCTGTTTGTGTACTAATGTTGTAGTCGTATGTCTGTTTATATGTGCGCCACGATTGTACTCACACACCCTTACTATCGTGCCTTCTTCCTCTGTTTGTCTCTTATAAAATGTCTTTATCTGAAATGACGTTATAGTACCGTCTTCGCACACATTTTGACACCAAATTCCGCTTATTTGTTTCTTCGTCTATCCCCCCGCACACACACGCGGGCGCATGATCATATACCTGCGCAAAAAGGATGTATTGATCAACAGACGTTCATATAGCACCGGGAAAGGGGAAACATGTACAATACTGTCCCATTGTATATATTTTCTGTTTTTTTTTTCTTTTTTTTCTCATGCGTAATACAACACCCCCCGCACACTCCCTCTTCCACCATGGCCGCCAAAACACATTCTCTGTTAAACAGAAACCATGCCGACATTTTCCGCTTACAAATTTAATAACCTTAAAATGAACCATCCTGTTGTGCAAAACAAATTAGGAAGACCCCACTGGGGCTGAAAAAAAAAAAAACATATTAGCAGAGATTTTTCTCGCTAAAGATGCATCACTACATAAATGTCACGTTATGCTACGCTATGCAAATTTCGAGTGTTTCCTTTCCCCACACCGTCATTTTATTTTATGTTATTTTATTCTATTTTATTCTTTTTTTTTCCTTTTCAAACGCTTATTTTTTCCCGACGTTTCTTCTCACCCCCCCTTCATAGCATACATGTGCGAAAAATGCATGTTGCATATATGTACGAACCAGCGCAAAACTACGCATGTGCATGTATGCATGCATAGAAGAGCAAATCGATACTTACATAAATATCAGCGTGCGTATACAATATAGTGTACTTATTAGCGTTTATACACATGAGTAAAGTTCATTCCCGTTCCTGCCAAACAGCACGTTTCGCGTTGGATTGGATTGAGACATAGGTTTATCAATTTCTGTCCCCTCTTTTTGATTCCCCCGATTTTATTTGTTCACATTGAGATAATTCCTACTTGGCTGTCGACGTGGTTCCAAAAAAAAAAAGCGTCAAATAGAAGTAGAAAAGGTTGGAACATCCTCCTCTTTTCATTCGTTCGTCTTTGCTTCGCTATGCTTTCTTTTTTTTTTTTCTGTTTTCTTCTAACTGCAAAAGAGGCAGCTTTAAAGAGCAAATTTAAGGGGCACCTCCAACGTGCACTTGGAAGGGCAAACCGATTCTGCTCCCTTCCCATTGCGACCAAACGTAAGAGCAACCACGTGGAAGAAGCGTTCCCTCCAGCGCAAGTATGTTCTTCCCAGCACGCGTGCGTAGAGCAACCCCGCCTGATGTGTAGTGCCAAAGTTTCCACTACGAAGGGGAGGCACAAAAAAATCACGACATCAGAAGTGCTAAATTAAAGGAAACCGAAGAACTCTTCAGTAGAAAAACAATGGAATTTTTCGCAGTTTCCACCATAACGTGTGCACAATTAAGAAAGAAATAAATATTTATTTCTTCAAGCAGCAGCCAGACGGGCACACGTAATGCAGACGTGAGGAGGCATCCGTAGAAGTAGGCATATTCGCGTAACCACACAAAGTGAATGTTCGGGTTGCTTCCCCTCCGTGAAGGTAACCTAATAACTGACCGGAGGGCCTAACTTCAACAGAAGGCATAACCTCAGCAGACGGCATAACTTCAGCAGACGGCATAACTTCAGCAGACGGCATAACTTCAATAGAGGGTATAACTTCAGCAAAGGGCATAACTTCACTATAGGCCACATTTTACCAAGCATCTCACACCACACCCCCCAAAATGAGACAAGATGAACCTCATTGAACACAAACTGCGTGACTTGTTCTATGCGAAGAATTACAAATATTACGCCAAGTATGATAACTATGGAAATGTCCAAAGGAGGCACGCGTCCTTCCAGAACAATGGAAACGTGTGCTACTGCAACGCGTCCCTCCAATTATTACTGTCGATAAAACCTCTCTGCATATACCTGCTAAGCAAATTTGACAACATATACGAAAGAACGAAATCAAAATCAAAGTATAAGGGGGACATACTGAAGGCCCTCTTTTACGTTATTGAAGAAACGTACAAAATCGAAAAAGGTTACGTATGCACAGACAAACATATGAATCTTTTAAAAAAAATGAGAAAATATAATAGCAGCATAGTCATTAATGCACAAAATGATGCACACGAATTCTTGTTAATGCTACTCAACTATATAAACGTTGAGTGCAACCGCGATTTTAATTTTCCATCAAATTTCGAAATCACCCTGGACGATAAAGATAGCAAAGAAAAGGCATCAGAAAAGTACTGGGTAAAATATCTATTTAGGGATAACAGCATAATAACAGACCTTTTAGGCTTCCAAAATGTCTCTAGCATAACTTGCACACATTGTGGACATACAAGACACAGTTTTGAATTTTGCCTAGACTTAGGGTTAGAGTTTCAAAGTGAACACATACAAAGTACATCACTAATTGATTTACTAAGGAGTAACATCATGAAGAGCGATGATTTTTGCCACTTATTTTGCCCCATCTGTAAATCCAAACAGAATAGCTGCATTAAAAAGGGCCTCTACAGAATGCCCAATCTATATATGATTATTTATATCAAACGATTTAAATGGAGTTACGAATGCACCAATTATTTCAAAAGTAGAGTGAAAAAAATTGACACAACTGTGTTACTGCCATGGGATGGATTAATTGATTTTACTTCCTTTGCTTACATGTCCAACCATGAGTCTTTATCCAACTCGAAGTATCTCATCGAGAGCTTCATTTGTCACAGCGGAAACAGTTACAATGGTCACTACACAGCCGTCGTTAAGCATACGGATGGATTCTACAAATGCAATGATGAAAAAATGAAAAAACTCACTAACCCGTTTAATCCCGAAAATATTAGCGACATTTACCTCCTCCTACTCAGAAGGGTTACCTAAGAGGAGGTGGGGGGGCTCGCCCAAATGAGAACGTACCTATTGCTCCTAATAAATGTGGCATATGTTTGCACAAAACAACGCAAAATTGCACATAACACCAGTTATATCCTCTTTACATAGAGAACGAGAAAAATAGGTCCTTAAACTATAACTGCATTAGCAGCTATTCCACATTTTACATGTCTCTATCAAAACACTGTAGTAGGCCGATTTGTACCGCCCCTAACGCACATCGTGACGATCCACGTGGGAAGAGTAATTTATTCACTGGGGCTACAAAATGTACCCCGTCCTGTTCATCACCCAACCGGATAAGCAAAAATTGGATGCCGATTCTGTGTTTCTTTTTTCCATCAATGTGTCTATCTACACATATGCACGTCCATTACCCAGCGGGGTTGGCATAAAAACCACACATGCCTTTTTTAACACCCCGATTATTTCCCATTTTTGACAAGTGTTTACATTAAGCCGAATCGACAGATGTACATTTTTTTTTTTTAATTTCCTTTTCACTGTTCATATTTGCATCTCGAATGAGAAAAAAAAAAAAAAAAAAAAATCAAAAATTTAAAGCACCTCTCCAAAAGTAGCACAATTTTTTTGTGTTTTTTTAGAAGTGCTACAAAATTGTGTGTCTCTTTATTTTTTGCAAAAGGGGGTGGTGACGAAAAGGAGGATACGCAAAAAGGCACCCGTCTTGCCAGAAATAATCATCAGGAGCGTGTCCCCATGTTCCTTTGTTTGCTCACTCTTTTGCTAATTTGTTTTGTTTGTCTTCCCGATTGTTTGTTATCACCCCATTTTTTTTTCCTTCCTTCATCTTCGACCAACTTTCTTCAATTTTGCAAAAAAGGACAATTCAAATGTGTAGGCGAGAGCAAAATGAAGCATTCTAAAAAATGCGCCTTTTTAGAGACACTATGCCCCGAACGAGCAAAAAAAAAAAAAAAAAGTTTTTTTCATTTAAAAAATGCACATATAGCAGGCCTAAATGAAAGGCAAAAATAAGAACACTTAAATGTGCCCAACTTCTGTTCCACTAAAAAAGAATAATGGGGGAAATTGCAAATTTTGGGGGGATTCTTTTCACCAGGATTTGCTTCTGCGCCCGGCGGATGGGTACGTCCGAAAGAGGGAAAACCGAAAAACTGGAAAAAAAAATAAACAAATTAACCGAGGTAGAACTCCAACATCCCGCAAACTACAGCGGCAACCAAGTTGTCTAGACCTGCTATTCACCTACCACCTGCTCCATTTTTGCAAAAACGCTTTATGCGTTAATGAGGCACAGCACCAGGTAAGAACATCAATACTGGGCGCGATTTTTCCACTTCATCAGCAGCTAAACATTCGCCGAGGGATATTTCTCCCCTTCAAATTCCACTCTTTTCTCGAACAGCTGAATGTGCCACGGGAAAGCGTGCCAGAAAAGGGAAAATGGGAAAAAGAAAAAGATAAAATATCTACATGACTAATTAATCCGAACCTTAAAATTTTCTCCGAATAGGAAAAAAAAAAAAAAAAAAATTAGCACACCCAGTAGTAGTACCAATGAAGTACTCACCACAAATAAAACACATCTACCGAAGTTTTCTTATAGAAACACATGAACGCACATTTTTGAATCCAAAATTATCCGGTCCCGTCACGACCCGTCCATGTGCACACTCCAATTGATTACCTCCCCTGTGCTTATTCGAAAAAGCTAACCATTCCCATTTTATTTCTCTACCTAGTAGTTGGCCAAGCAAGGACAACATGATTAAACATTCCAGCTCGAATAAACACAGTGCGGGTCTAAAATGTTTTCTCATTAATAACGTTAAGCATTTACAAAATTGAGAAAAACGTCCATTCGTGCATTCTCTACATTTTAATACACATTTCTGTATTGATAAGTCTATCGATTTTTTTTTTTTTTTCCTTTTTTTTTCTTTATCCTACAAATCGGATGGATTAATTCCTTTGGAGATTTCCATATTTTTCTAATCTCCTAAAGATGTGTGTGTTTTCCTAAATTTCATAAAAAACATTTTGTCGGAAAAATAAAGATACGAAAGATGAAACTTTTAATATCTCCACCCCCTCTCTACACATTCGAATAACAGTCCTTGACAAAACTACCTTTCGAATGACGCTCTACTTCTCCCCCTCTTGACTGCATTGTAGAAGTACAAATCGAATCCCCCCCCACACACACACACCCCATTCGAAGCTGTCATTTTTCCCATTTCGCGTTTGTCCGCAATTGAACATCCCCATACCGTCTCTACACCTTCCTGCACCAATTAATAATTACATTTTGTACATTCGGCATGCACACCGCCGCTCATCAGAGAAGCACCTCCCAATATTCTGAACAAGGAAGATATCTGGACATCCAAAAAGGGATGATTTGATTATATAAACATATCAACACATGTGCATCACATACTTATTAGGAATCTACCCTACATGTACAACTCTCCCCCCAAACTGCATCAATTTTTCCAACAAGGGTCTCAACTCCAGTGGTGGTAGACAATAACGGCATAGAGAAAAATGAACTAATTCCTATGGTGGATATTCGTAAGATGCGCTCTCCTCACCAGATAAAAAAAACACAAGATGAAAAAGAGGAAGTGCCCCTTTCGACAACAAAGTGAAGGAAGAGACAAGAGGAAAAAAAAATTGAACAACAGAAACGAATTAGTACTAAACCGCAGAGGCGATACCCACTGTGAAGGAAGGAGTGGCAGAGGAACCCATCAAACAAAGGGACATGGTCATAATAATCACAATTTTGCATGTGTCAAGGAAAGTAAAACTTGTAAGGAGAAGTCACAAGAGAGAAGCGAACTGCTAGTGAACCCAAACAGGTACAACGACACGGATGCAGATATGTGTTGGGACTCACCACACAACAGTAGCGACTCCTCTGAAACTCCCAAAATTCTTGAATCCGACCAATCAAAGATATATCAGAGCACAAGCGAGTTCGACGTGCACAGCGATACATCGAATAACACCATTAGCGATCTAAGTGCAAACACAGATGAAGGTTACAACCAGGATTACAGATTAACTGAAATATTTCAGCGCATCGATTATGCAAGGAGTCCCTGTTTAGGGGAAAATGAGGAGTTGCCCAGAAATTGGAACGTCCTGGAAACGTTCGATGTTTACGACGTGTTTGAAAATGAGGGGAACGCGGATAGGGGGGGGGGAAGGGGTGCACCTAATTGGGCCTCTAGCTGGGCTCCTAACCCGGTCATTAACCAGAATGTTAATCAGCATGCTGACCAAGTTGATGGTCGCGTTGATAACCAGGCCGTCAAGTGCGATCGTCCCACCGAGATCCCGCCTCCCCACACCAAAGCAACAGACGAGGCAGAAAAACTGATCACGCAGACGGTCCTGTCGAAAAAAATGCTAATCCTACTCCCCTTTTTTAAGAAGCGTATCTTCATAGAAGCCATATGGGATTACTTCCAGTCAAACAAAGTGAAGGACGAAAGGGACAGGGATAACTTAAAAGTCCAGTGCTTCCAAACGTTCTGTAAAATCCGCGAATGTGCAACGCGCTGTAGTGATAATCCCACCGATGGGAACTTCCCAAATGATGAATTACTCAGCACGTACTTCTTTAACAAACTAAATAAAAACCAATATGATATAAAAATAAAAATGGATTACTACGAAGTGGAGTTCTTTTTCATTTTCTTCTTGACATACTTTCGCTTCTGTCTATACCTAACGGGGTTTATAAATTCGTCTTTTCTGTACCACTCGAACGAAGTGCACTTCATCATCTTTGTTCTGAACAGATATCATTACTTCGTGGACCATATGTACGTTAATGATAATTCTTTGCCTTTTACTCCGAATGAGGTGCAAGACATTATTTGCACCTATAAGAAGTGCATTATCTCTCTTTTAGATTATCTCGACAGTTTTTACCCGTTTCTGCTACTCATAAGTGACGTCATGCAAGAAGTGCACACGAAATTTAAGAAAATTTCACACAAGGTGAAGGAACTTGAGCAGGTTCTGGCGAAAGCGGACCCCACTGACAGAACCCCCCCGAGCAATAACATCGACCCTGATATAGTGACCCCACACACTATCAAAAAGTTCAATGCGATTAAAAGAATTAATAAAATAAAGAGGAAGTTCTTCAAACGGAATGGCGACTCGTTTGCTATGCTGATTAGAGTGCACCTGGGCAGGTATTGGGTGGATAGGGAGGAACGCTCCATCGGTGCTGCCATCTTAGGTGAGCCGTCTCTAGACGATGCCAATTTGAGTGACTATTCCCCATATGATGACAATCTCGACAAGCACCTCGTCCAAATGATCCGCAACACCAGGTGCAATATGCTGCTAAAGCACACCATCTTCCGCACAGTGGAGAAGTTGAACCAAATTCTAAGCTCCCTCGAAATCACCATCACCCTCGCAAAGGCGGACGAAACATGCGCACAGCACATCATGTCGATGTCGACGCTACTCACATTCAAAGCCTTAAAAGAAATGAAAAAAAAAGACAAGTGGCTCCAACTCCTAAAGCATAATTATTTCTATATCGAAAAAAGTTACTACTACTTCAAGGAATTGCATGAAAAGAAAATCATCTACTACCAAATACAAAATCTGTTACGATCTATCCTAAATTTCAAAATTAATGTCGTATACAATCCCTTCATACATTACTTATCCATTGAAGATATGAAAAACAAAAATATACACACTATCTATGACTACATATACTACATAAAGGATATGCGCCAGAAAAATTACTTAGTAACTCTCTTCGTCTTCAATCGGTTGATTTACAAACTACAATTTGACGTCACCACGTACGGGCTCCTCTTCTCAATTTATAGCTCCCTGAAATTTTTATTTTTCGAAAAATCTTCCATTCATTTAATAAAGAAAAATGGAACAATGAAAAAAAAATTCATGTACCTATTCAACGATATGATAAATTCTTGGGATTTTAAAACGTATAAACATATCCCCATTCCTTCCAGAAATATTATAAAGGACACTTTTTTTATTCAAGAGAATTCAATTGTCAGGAGTGTACTGTCAGCTGCCATGAGGGAAGCCACCCGGATGAGATTCACTGGACATATAGTCACTAATGCCTCGCTTTTTTATCGTTATAAGAGACTGGTAAATTATCAGCTCCACGGAGCCATCCTAAACAGCAATACTATTCACATGGTTGAACGAAATTATGTGATCCGTCAAATTAAGGACAAATTGGAGGAAATGAAGAATAAACTGTGACTCAATAAGATTGGCATGGAACTTCAGGGTGTCATCCACTACGATTATTACTGTCCAAAGCGTCCTTGAAGAGATGACGCGCAAGAGAAATCTCTCCATTGGATCTGCGAAGAAAAGTTTTCCCCCCCCCTGTTTTTTTATTTTCTTACTGTTCACCAGTTAAGTCTACTTTTTTTTTTTTTTTTTTTTTTTTTTTTTTTCTCCACAAGTATGTCAGAAGGTGTGGAACCCCCCTTATCTTAATCTACCCTTATGGCGTGGAGTACTAAACGAGTAACGCAGCCGATTCATCAGAAAAAAAAAAAAAAAAAAAAAAAAAGCCTCTTTGGTTCATTATAACAACAGTGTAAAGAATGGCAGATTTTTGAAAGCTATAAAAAATGCCCATCAAATGATAGGATATCAACCTGAGGAAGCTGCCCTAAGATACAGACGCGTTTTTTTTATTCATTTAAGTGAACTCTGCTAACAGGGCCTCTCAACTTGAGAGAGTAAGTAGCACCCGCCTCTTCAAAAAGAAAAAATCAATTTCCATACACCATAGTCTCGTCAGATCCCCATGTGTTAATGCTCACCCGGTGCGGGGGGCCATGGGCCTGTCAAGCACTGCAACATTATGAAGGCCTGGAGAGGCATAACTTTGGCCACTATTACCCCAGAGAAATATACATGTGTGCACATGAACAGGCGCGCATGTTCTGTCCCCTGAAGTGCCACGTGAGAGAAACAAACTTCCCCCCTCTTGATACCTCCAACATGTGTCGAATTATCACAAAATAGGTGACGGAACTGCCTCAGAAAATATCCAATGAGATGGCATTCTCGTGAAACACCCCCCCCCTACCATGAGTAGTCAGAAATAAAGGGGAATATAATTTTTACATGGGAGTAACACTTTTCCAGTAATAGGAGCATTTTTCATGTTTTCATTTTAACTTCTCTCCACGCTGGCAACTGCTCCCTAGTTTGCCTTAACACAAGGGGGAGGAGTCTTCCGGAGTCCCTTTCCGCTTCGGTGTCGCCTCACCTGTGGCAGCGGATGGACCTGCCCCCACAGTTGAAGTGGCAAAAAGTGTCCTAAAAAATTCGTCTCTTATGTAACATTTTTTATCTTCTCGACTGCAGGTGTGTGTAACTGTCAAATGCACCCTTTTCACTACCGCGACGCCCTAACAGTTCAGCGAAGACACAAAAAAAAAAGAAAAAAAAGGAAAAAATTAAAAACACAGCCCCCATTTCGCACGTAAAAAAAGGGAATCTCTACATGTCCAGGTTTTATTCTATTTTCGAAAATGTCATGAGAAAATGTGGCCCTCGTCCCCTAGGTGTCAATTTTCTTTTTTTTATTTTATTTATTTTTTTTTTGGTACACTGAACGCACACATTTGACGTTGATATTCCAACAGATTGCTCTGTTTACGTCTGTCCAGGTGAACACACATCAGGCATGTCAAGATGCGTAACCGTATGATCCCTGTGTACGTTCTATTTTCCCCCTATGAGATGCTAAGCCTGTGCGCATTTTCTTGGCGCTAATAAGGCGTTTCCACGAGGGGAGGAGGCGAATGCACCTGGACGTCCACGAGCAGTTCCCGATGCGGTTACGCGGCGGAGCAGCTTCCTAGCCGGTCCATACGCTTAATCACACACGCGAAACACTACTCTTTGACATGCTACCCAGAGAATGCAAATGTTAGACGAAAAAAAAAAAAAAAAAAAATACCCCTCAACTTTGTACTTAAAAATTACGAAAAAAAAAAAAAAAAAACAGAAAAATTAAAAAACAGCAAAAATGAATGCTCTTTATTATTTTCCTAATTTTTTTTACTTTTTTTTCTACGTTTGGAGGTAACACTCCCGTGTAGTGAAACTTTTCACCGCAATGATTTGTCTCTTACCGATATGGAAGGACTATCCCTCATCGATTACTTACAACTACTTCACTCTTTTAACTCTAGACATTTCCGCCTTCTTTATAATCCTTTTGCTCCTTTTAATAGGCCGCTTCCCTTTTCTGTTGTAATTCCGCAAACATCTCTTTGTGTGACTTGCGTTTCCTGATTCATAGTCATCATGGCTAGCTCTTCTCTTTCTGTACTTGGGGAACGGTTCGCTGATTTCCTGACTGACCCTCTCTTCACTCATTTCATTCGTCGAATGGCTGCTCTTGAATTCATTTATAAAGTTGTACATGCGGTCAAATCTTTCTATGAGCTTAAAGTAGGTAGCTTTATCGCTTTTTTTTATTTTGCTGAAAAACATATCATTCCCGTTCTCCATAAAGTCTGTATATATATTGTCTCTTGGGATGAATACATTATTTTTTAAAAAGGTGTAAATATTTTCTATTATGTTTTCATTTTTTTCCTTTTCTTCTTCTTCTTCCTCCATCCCCTTGGTGTAGTATCCTTCGTATGATTCGATTTCTTTGTTCAGCAGCTCTTTGATGTCTTGCAGTACGGCAGCCTGTCCCCTCTGCTGGCAGTTCGCACAGTTGCCGCTAACCATAACGCCACGACTCATGGTACCCACACACTGGGCACAGTTCTCCCCAAATTCGTCGACCGAACTTGCGGGAGTGATCGCGCTCTCTACATGAGCAGACCTCTCCTCTAACGCCATCTCCGCCACATGACTGTACATATTCCCAGTGGTGCACCCCGTTGACGTAGACGTTCCACTCCCTGCTGTTGTAGTCGTGGCATCGGTGTTGTTGCTAATCATGTTGTTAAAATTGCTATTATTCATGTTTGAATCCTTTATTTCGCAAAAAATATCAGCAGTCTCGTTTTCTTTGCTTTTACTTAGTAACTCGTTTAGCTCACCATGGGATGACTTATGCATTTCGGTTTTCCCCCAGTTGGCCATGCCCTCAGGATTTGCGTCAATTCCCCTTTTGGCGTCTCCTTCCTGCATGTGGCCATAACTATGGGCCGGTCGCATTTGGTTGGAACCGTAGGAGGAGTGGTTCTGGGAGTTGTAATCGGCGCCGTGGTAAACACCCAGATCATCGCCACGCACAGTATCATAGAAACCGGCACTCTCACCGCTATGCGAAGCGCATTGCAATGGCCAGGGGGTTGAATCCCTCTTTCTCGAGTCGGTGAATCGCCCCTCCACTTTGTCCTTCAGCATTTCGAAAATTATTTTCTCATTTCTCTCCTTCACATGTTCGTCATCTTTTATCTCCGCAAGAACACTGCCATATTTTATTTCATAGGACTTGCTAATGCTTAGTAGAAGATTAAAAATATTCTCCTTTAGCAGATGCTTCTTGTAAAGAAAGTTATGTATGATAAGGTCTATGTTCGAATTGTGTATGTTCATCTCATTGTTGTTAATTTTGGTGAATATATGATGGAAAAAGTTGACTGTTAAGTTATCGTAAATGTTGATGAAATTTAGCACACTGCTTTCGAGGTTGGAGTTGTTTCTCAGGCACTCTTGATTCGTGTCCATGTCTATTTTTATTTCGCTCAGGTGGGAGCCAAAACCGCCTCCGCTTGCACAGCTGCCGCCTCTCCCGATGCCGCTTACACCGCTATTGGCACTGCTCCCATCGGCTTCATTCTTTTCACCCCCGATACCTCCATTTCCATATATTACTATTGGCACCTGGTTGAGCTTCACGTATCCATTGTAGTAATCATTCTCCGTCAAATTCATCTCATTACGCTCATCGAACTTTTGCAGAATCCCCTCATACTTAAATAATATGCTTATGTTGTTGCAGTAAATTATGTTAAAGTAATGATTAATGAATTTTATATACGAGTTCTTGTTGCAGCAGACGCGCATGAAAAAATTTAAGTTATTAATCAGTTTGCTCTTCTTGATGTTCATGTAATCGCTGGGAGTGCGTTCCTTCTTCTCTGCTCAGGGGGGGGGAAATAATAAAACGCGTGCGTGTACCAGTAAGCACATATACATATATATATGAGAATATCCACGTATGGCATAGAACTCGGTTGTTGTCTTTTGACCACGCAACTGCTCCAGCTATTACAGACGGTGCGCTTCTTTGGGTACCTTTCACTGGAGGGTTTGCACTGCTATGGTTCGATTTTTCCTTCTTGTAGTAGACGTCGGGGTTCACGTAGCTTATGCTGTCCAATCCGCTGGCTAACTCTCCTCCGTCATGTTTGTCAGTCGGGTGTGCTGGTACTTCTCCGGGGATTTCTCCTGTTCCCTCCGCGATGTTATGCGTGATATTCTGCGGGATGTTTTCCCTGATGCCCTCCGCAACGTTTTCCGCGATACATTCTACGATGCCTTCTCCGCTCATCATACCGGAGACCTCCTGGGTGACCTCTCCGTTGGCCTCCCCACTGCTATGTCTCCTCATATTTGCACGGTCACTGTCGCTCCCATTTGTGTCTCCGATCCCACCTGCATGCATTGCGCTTCCCAGGCTGTTCCGACACTCACCCCCTGCATCCTCCACATCACTCGTCTGGATGCTGCGAAAATTAAATAATTTGTTTTTCAGATTATTCATGTAATTCACGCCCAAGGAATCTCCTGCGGCGAAGTCGTAGCACCCCGAACCATTCAGCATGAACTCGGGGAAGTGATTTTTTGCCTCCTCCTGTTGAGCAAACATGTTAAAAGGACAGACACGTCTTCGCGAGAGGGGGAAAAGGGGTTCAATATTACAATGGATTATCGGTTCAACGGGGCAAAATGGCGCAATAGAACAGTCTCCCAGATTTGTGAAGTACGTACAACAGAGTGCTCAACGGGGGGGAACTACACACAAGCAGACAAGTCAAAAGAGGGAAAAAGTAAAGCTTGTGAAAGGTGAAAAAAAAGGGGACGCTGTTCATGTAGCACTAACGGGGGAAATCAAACGGAGGTGAAAATAAAAGATAGGAAAAAATGGTAATGACAAAGTGGGTAAAAATGTAGCCAAAAATTTAGGAAAAAGTGAAGTTAGCGGTGAGAGAGATAACAATGTTGATGGGAAAGGTATAAAGATGACAGTGTTGACAGTAAAGACAAACCACACAACGGGATTGGAAATGAATGCACTCAAATGGAAACGTAAAACGAGCTGAAATATCCAGTTACCCCTTAAACCCGCGCAATATCAAAAGAGGAAAAAAAAAATCATCTGTCTTTCGACGAAAGAAATAAACGAGAAGAGTATCACTTGGAACCCCCTTAAAATGGGAGGCATAAACAAAAGATTCAATATAAAATTATCTCACAACGTGACAGATACTCTCCCACTTCCGCTTTGGGGTTAACAGCTTACAGATTTTGCAGGGCCGTTTGGAAGAGCCAAAAGTTCTAGTCAATTAAACATGCAGCCACCACACAAGTGCCAATTCTACAGACACATAAAAATTCAGATGTGTCCAGCATTGATGCGTGCATGTAACTGGGGGGATATATCACTCAACATGACTATGTAGAGGACCACAATGTGGTAACATCACACGACTGCAGTCGTAATTAGGGTAGCAAGTGGAGTGTACCCAGCTACAGATGATGATATTTATGCAAGCACAAATGGGGCGTTACTTATGTATACACAGTTTTTTTTTTTTTTTATTGACAATTCCCATGTGCATATACGCGTACACAAATTTGTGAGGACAAAAAAAGGAGCAAATTATGCGCGAAAAAAATGTAAGAAAAGGACAAATAAAAAGGCCGGTTCAGGTAAGAAACGCCAAGTCTGCGAGACAAAATCGTATGCAATACGCGACAAAAACGTTACTGAGTCGTCACGAAACTGTGGTAAAGAAGATAGATAAACGACAATGCACTAAAAATGGAATGCTTGAAAAAAGTAAAAATGTCAAGTGAAAGAGGGAACCAGACAGGGGAGGCAGATCATAAAAATTGACTCCGACTATATGCGAGTCATGGGGAACGAACGTGAGGGAGACAAACGACAAAAAACATGTTCTCCCGAACTATCCACAAAAAATTCATGTCTAATGGTGTTTGCTCTCGAGTAAATTGTTCCTCTCCCGCTTATTTATTCTCCTATGCCACGTTAACAAAAAAAAAAAAAAGAAAAAAAAAAATGAACACACGGTACACATAGACATGTGCGTACGTGTTTATATGTTCACATAAACACATCCACCTGCATATTGACAGATATCTGCATATTCATTTTTATAAAAAGAGTGTGGCAGTTACTACATGTTAGGAGGTATGCTGAGGGAGGGGCATAACCGAAGAAGTGGAGTTGTCCTGATGAATCATACCCTATGTGAATACAAAAAACGCGCCTCTTTTCAGGGACAACTATACATACAGGACCCACATGCACAAAGGGCAAATCGCAGAGAGAAAAAAAAAAAAAAAAGGACAAAGGACAATACACATGATATATGCACATACGTGTACAAAAAGCACAAAACACAAATGTGAGTATACCCGCGATGCAAAGTAGCAATAAACTTTTTCACAATTCACTCTTATGGAGCTCCCGGGGGGAAAAAAGAATGTTGCACTTTTCCTTCTTCTTTATTTTATCATCACGTAGGAATTGCTACTGGTTTTTAAATTCGAATAAAAAAAAAAATTCAATTTTATGTGCGCCTCGCTATATGTAGACTTGTAGTTCAAATATAGCATATCTGAAGAAAACCAAGATGGTCCTTCAAAACTGGCTCTTAGTTGGGCATACATATGTGATCATAGGCACATATGTTCAGCTTAGCACCCACAACATAACGTACGCAGGTCTCCACGTGTACACATGCGAGAATGCGTAAATTATGTTCCTACGAAAAGGCATGCTCTGACCAAATGGCTAAGCAACTACATAACTAAATGAACTTCTTCAAAAAACGACGTGGATATATGAATATTCTATAAATTTCTATATATTATGAATCCATGGAGTGCAAAAAAATAAAGGTTTAAATGTTATCGGCGCATGCAGATGCATACGCAGTTATATGCACTGCCCAGCGCAGCGGACTTCCACCAGTGCACAAAATCCTTATGTAGAAATGTTCAAAATGAGCACATGCAAAAGGGTTCCTATGTGAGAATGTATAAACATGTAGGAAGCGAGGTTAATCTTCTCTAGTGGGAAAAAAAAAAATTAAAAAAAAAAAAAGAAAAAATTAAAAAAAAAAAAAAGAAACAAAAAAGGAAGTTACAATTTATTCCTTTTCTTTATAAAAAGAGAGAGAGAAAAAAAAGGTGTATTTCCAACCAACACGCATACCTAAATCGCGTAACGCGTGATGTATATCTTCCTGCGCGGGTATGTAGATGCCAGGAAAGTATCAACACATGGATACTTACATACATACAAACACGCATGCGAACCTGTACATTTATATGGACTCGTAATTAACGTACACCAAGGAAAAGCAACAATTCGATAAAAAAATAAAATAGAAAAATCTGATGTGTAGTTCTTTCTTCATTTAAACAAAAGCAACATCTGATTCGAGCGTATGTTACAACATGTAAATAATTTTTAAAGTGTCATGTGTAATGGCTTTACACAGAAGGAGCGGCAGAAGGTGCATCTACTCAAATGCACGATGTCGAGCCTAAAAATGCAATCGTATATCTCTTCATAAATGTATACGTAGGACACAGCGGGGGGAGGAAGGTTATTGTAAAGAAGAAAAAATAATAAAAGAAAAAAAATTAAGAGATGATACTCGCTCAAGCAGGTGTACGTAATACATGCGAGCAGGCATTACACCGACATGTCGACATGAAACTATGTTAGACCTGTTCTACTCACAAAAAAAAGATAAAAAAAAAAACTTCTTTTCTTATTGGTCTATATAGGAACACAAAAAGGATTAGACAAGCGCAATTACACTAAATTATCCGCTCCTTAATGGCACTAAAAAAAAAAAAAAGAAGAATTCGCACTGGTGTACATACGAATATTCACGCATATGGACACCTATATATTTATGCTTTTCAGTGTGCACATGGCTTAAAAACTTTTCAAGTTATGTAAACTTGGTCAACCTGCACATACGGAGCGATTTATAAATTTATGTCTTGTACTTTTGCCAAAAAAAAAAAAAAAAAAAAAAAACATGCAGATATGAATGTATCACCTTGTACACATAACATTCCGCTGAGAATTTTATGTAGATATGCAAAACTTTCGTAGGCGAAGTTTATGTTACGTAAAGGAGAAATACCAAAAACGGGAAGAGAGAGGCAGGAAGGAAGTCTTTAAAAAAATAAAAGAAACATACATTACACGTTATGTGTGAAGGGCTAAATGTGACACGTTTGGATGTGCATCTATCCAGGTGTTCCTCTTTCACCTTCTTCTTTTTCTTTTTTTCTCTTTTCCCACATCTCTCAAAAATTGACATACACTGCTGTGAAAACAAATGTAAGGCAACTCAGACACATGGGGAGAACCACACAATAATGGGATATGTGCGAAAGGCAGGACGAAGGGACGCAAACACACTAAGTATACGCGTGTTTGCTCACGATTGGTTTTTCACGAATTGGACGTATTTCACTTTTAGTTATGTGTGAGGCTATCTTAGTAAAAGGAAAAAAAAAACACACATAAAAAACTGTGAAGGAGAGGGGACAAATTCAAAAGGACGCAGGAAGAACGCGGAAATATACGAAAGGACATAGAAAAAGAGAAAAAAAAAAAAAGCGAAAAATTGCAAAAGGATGTGAAAGAAAAAAAAAAGGGAAAAAATGAAAAAGAACGTGAAATTGCCAGAAAATGGTGAAATATCCCAAAAAAACGTCCAATTAAAATGCTCACCCCAAAATAACACTTTTTTTTGACCTTTTCGTTGAAAAAATTTATAGCCCCTCTTTAAAAGTGTTCATCCAATCATCCACTCAGTTATTGACCTTCACTCTTTACCTTCGATCTGAAATGTGCGGCATGAGTGAATATATATAATGCATTCATTCATATATATATTTATACATACATGATATATATATTTATACATTTGTACATACGTTTATATATGCGTTTATATATACCATTTACGCGTATGTCTGTACAAGGACATGCCCCCGCGGTATCTGAAATTAGCTCACACATGAACCCCGGGCCTTATGCACATACTCGCTCACGCGAAGATGTTAATTCCTCCTCCCCCAATCGATTCACCATATCTCTACATGGCGCGTGATGCTCATCTTTGAACTTGAAAAAAAATATATATAACATTCGTTCCTTTTTCTTTTTCTCAAATTCTGCGACCTTCCGCTTTTTATGCAGATGAGCATGTGGCTAGTGTGTATGCGCTCACGTTCGCGTGGAGTGCGCGTGCTGAAGGCTCTTTTTTGTTTTCACCTATTAGCTTTTTCGTTTACTTATTATTTATACCTCTCTCTTTTTTACGCTCTTTCTCTATCTCCCCTTTTTTCTTTTTTTTTTTTTTTCCAAATGATCACATTCTCTGAGGGTGCTCATCGACTAAGAAAACGCATACGTACAAAATGACACGCAAATTACTGCAGGCACTCTTTCCCCGTAAGTTTACCCTTTCCTTTGCACATCTTGTCATGCGCCAAAAGTTAGTCATTTTATTATGAGGGATTCATTAAACACTCGCATTGGTGCTTGCATGTGTACATGCCCTTTGTGTCCACTGCGACATTTTTTGG